TGAAAGCAGAAAGTCAAGGCGAGCTCTTACGTATTTATTTACACTCTAATCTGGGGGGGATGGGGGCAGGAGAGAAAAAAAAAACAACAAAAAAAGAAAGAGCACACAGCTGCCATCCCAAAAACAGACCTCCCATCTGCCACCCACGATTTGCATGTCACCTTCTCCAGGCTCATTTGTACTTCATTAACTGCCATTGACTTAACAAGATTTATGCAAATGACACCATAGGAGCTCGCTAACTCCCACTGCAATCAAGTGATTATGTATGTACAATTCTCCACAGCAATGAAAAATTAATACATGACAAGCCCCCTCACCGCTGAGCTGAGCTGCTTGCTTTTATTTTTCTCGTTGTGCCTTTTTTTTTATTTGAATATGCCATACTGATCAAGATTTAGCAAGACCACAGAAAACAAAGTAATCTTCCCAAAACGCTACAACCCCGCCATCCTAGGAAATATGTCACCCTAAGCTGTACAGCATAATATGTGCTTCAAAATATCCACTCAGGCTACCAGGAATAAATGGGTTTTAACAGAGGATACTCCAAGCAGAGTAAGCCGCTCACCGTAAGTTTGCTTGAAGGGTAATATTAACAACGTTACAGAAGATGCCTTAAATATTTTTAGTCTAAGTGTCTTTCAGAAGTATAGAACTTTGTGGATTTTAACTTTGGGCTAATAGTGTTCCAGATGTTTTCTGATTACATTTGATTAGTGGAAGATATTTAAATAGCACACAAGCGAGGTTTTTTCCTTTCTTTTTTGAAAACTATGGATTTTTAAGTTCTCAAGGGATGCTAGAAGCACATGATTTAAGGCATGCTGATACTGCTGCACATGCAGAAAAAGTGTTTTTACCTCCCCAGCCAACCGGCCTTCCCAAAATATCACTTAAGAGTATTTTGGCAGAAGTTAGCAGCCACATTTTAGAAAGAAACCTGCTTTTCACTGCCTACATTTTGAGTTTCTGCTGGGAGCAAGAAGGTTGGTTGCAATGGGTTTATATGGTTCAGTCCAATAATACCATATTTATCAGTGCAACGTAAAAAGTGCTTTTTTAACATTTAGAAAGGACAGAAAGAATAAGAACATTAAGTCTCTTTGACCAGACTGCTTTGAATTAAGGATAAAGCCCTAAAGAAGCAAGGTGTTTCCTTCAAAGAAGACATGCCATTTACAATTTTATCTGTTTCCCCCAAACTCTCAGGGTTTCAGGGACCGAGAAGAGAAATGCAGGAGCAGGCCACAACTCTTGGCTTCGTTTGACCAAAAACCTCTCACCAAACTCCCGTAGCTGTGTGGGTTTGTATCTGGAACCCAGCAAGGCTGTATTACAGAATTAACAGCAACTCTTTTTGGCAGCAGAGCTCATTTTGCAAGATGCATACGTGCATTTAGAGAGCAACCAGGAGGGAAATGAAACATCCCTTCAAAACCTCCGCTCCTCTGCCAGTTTAAATTGTCTTCAAATATATCCCCGCTCAGTCCCCATGTGTTGCCTGATCTAGTTGAGAGGCGTCCCTGCCCATGACAGGGAGGTTGGATTAAATGATCTCTAAGGTCCCTTCCAGCCTAGGCCAGCCTATGATATATAAAAGCATCAAACATCAACCACAACTATGTTGGTTTAACAGCAGCAGTATAGACCTGGATCTATGAAAAAAAGCCTGTAGTTGAGGTGAATGATAGACTCATTGCCATCCCGTTTTCTACATTGCCTTGAGAGCTGATTTTTTGATACATTCATCCCCATCACATAGAAATATGCTTGACCAATACCAGCTCTTCCTTCCCCACTTTCATATGTCCCTCTGGAAGATTTTTTTTTTTTCCAAGACCAGAACATTTCCAATCTCCAATTAACTTGTTTTATTTCTGGTTTTGTTTGGTGTTTGCTGTTCTGGAATTTTTTTCTTTTATGTTTGGGATTTTTAGGAGACCTTGGGTAGATAAGAACAACCCACAGACACCATAAAATACACTGGACAACCAAGTCATTGATTTTAACATCTGAATAATAAGACTTCTGCCTTGCACTTGCTGGCATGCAAACAGAATTAAGAACCCACAGAGAATAAAATAAAACATTGACAACAAATATGACAAAGGGATGGTGACTACATGCTCTTGAAGATGTCCCAAAGACATAATAGAAGAGTTTGTGCATGAAGCTGGCCAAGGCATTTTGCTCAACAGCAGCTTTGAAAAGCCAGAGGACGTTTACCGCAACTGGAGGCTACTCGTGCTATAGCACAGGGCAGCTCAGCAAAGTTGCTTTCAGGCCAACAGGAAGACAACCATCAGAAAACGCGGTGACAGAAACACTAAAAGCAGAAGTCCTTTAATGATATGATGAGATAGCTCTCTCGCAGCAACACCGTGAATGCTGCAATCTGCATCCAACTTCCTGAAAACAGGTGCCTCTTTCTAATCCATGACCATTTGTCACAGAAACATATCGCAATGGAAGTGCAGCACCATGGCATGACATGCTGAAATTTCCTTTTACGTCCCTCTGTCTTATTCACAGTTAATATAAAAAATAAGAGACACCATCTTGTCTAGTAGGAATTTCTACTGCCTCAGAGAAATGTTGAAGTATCTGGCACCTGTAGAGCCCTCCAAGAACACAGTCCTACCAGCAATTCAACTCGGTGCCATCTCGACTGATGGGACCTCTCCACGTGAACACTGGGTAGACAAAAAGCTACCCGCTGGTCAAACTTCGGGAGCCCTTTCTGCTTGAAACAGCGCAGTTTGCAATCAAGCTAATTTGCATTTCAAGCTAATGTATGTTTTTAAACAGTAATGAAACACCGTCAGTACAAATACACATTGTATGTCCATTTTTCATTAAATGCTTCCACATTAAATAAGTATTTTTTCCAACTCCTTTTTTTTTTTTTTTGCCTCAGTGGCTAGGTGGCACTGGTCTATACTTTACAGAAGACTGTCTGTCTAGAACACAGAAAACATATGAACTCCAATACTCATTGTCTTAATGTGCAGGTAAGATGCAAAATTCCACTGAGAGCAGCCGTCCTATAGCACCGCATATCATCCAACCTCCCTTCTTTTAGCACCCTTTTCAAACCCCCATGAGCAGGATGTACCTGCTGACTACAGACCTGCTCAAATATCTGCTGATAATTATCTGTATGTGACAAAAAATTACCATAATTGGGATTAATAACAAGAAGTACACATTTCCAAAAGATTGGTCATAGTCAGTACACAGGTAAGGGTTGTGGGAAGCATTCTTCAACGTGTATTTTCAAGAGATTGTAAGGGATATTTCAGTACAACATGTTACAGTGCAACCACACTTAGAATGCTTATCTTGCTTGTCCTACAAGTGCATTTTTAATCAAATAATTTTGTACAACGGCGTTTTAGAAAAGAACAGTATGTATGCCTTGAATAAATATTGAAAAGTATATTCCTCAGTTTTTCCCCCTCAGCCGCATTCACAGACATTTTTGTTTAATTAGCATTACCCAAAAGAATCGCTGCCGGTCTAACCCATCTCACA